CCACGGACTCGGGAGGGCCAGTCTGTGCAGCTCCCTGATCAGGAACCCAGACCATGGAAGTGCAGGCCCCGCCAGCCCCTGGAGGAGCCCACGCATGACATGGGATGAGATGCATTTAATTGCTTTGGTTTGGAGTCACCATCTTAAGGAATCCGTGACAGGTCAGAGTCACGTTAGCTTCCTGACATGTTAAGGGGCATAAATGGATCTGCTGCTGAAGGTCCCCCCCCCCGGCCCATTCTGGACACAGAGGACAGGCCCCTCTCTCTCTCTCTGAGGCATGTCTTGGCCACCAAATGCATTTGTTTCTTGGAGGGGCAAGTGGGATGGACATGGGCTTTGGTGGCCTCAAGTGGTCCCCAGCCCAGGAGGGGTGGGAGTGGGGATAAGTGCCCTGCTCTCCTCCATGCACAGCAGACGTGGCTGGGCTGGGGTCCCAGTTTCTCAGTGGACCCCTGGCAGGACTGAGCCCCAGGTGCCCACAGCGCTAATCCCTGTCAACGCGATGTCTACTGGCTTTCTGCCGTCTCTGTCTGAGTCCCCTCTCTCTTGTAGCTCCCAAGAAGCACCTCCCCAATAAACTGCTTGCACCAAACTCCTTGCTGTGGAGATTCAGGGTCTGCTTGGGACGGCAGGACCACCCCTTCTGTGTCCTTCGCATCTTATTTATGAGAAGTAAGAAATAAGAAATAAAAAGAGGTGAGCAGTAAAGACAACAGAGAAATCTTCTATAAGAGAGAGAGTGCGCACATGGGAACACGATGCGGGACTCAGCTGACATCGTAACTGGATGCTCAGATCATGAAGTGGTGTTTCCACGATGTTTCCACGTGGGGCAAAGGAGGAGACAGGGTCTGGGTGAGCAGAGAAGGCGGTGGAGTCCTCAGGCCATGGGAATTCAGGTGGGAACAGCCTCAGCGGGGATCTGAGAGGGGCCCTGCCGTGGGGTCTGAGGGTAGCAGCTGGGAGCCCTGGGGCCTCAGGCCTATCTCAGACGCAGGTCGCAAGATAGTGCCCCTCATCCTACTAGGAGGAAAAGCGAAGAGCTGGGGACAGTAAAGACGACACCCTAACCCTGTTTGCAGACCTGCCCGAGGCCCGGCGCTGTCAGACCCCGCGGCAGGGCGGCCACCCCGAGGTGTCTGTGCAGGGGTTGGGGAGGCCCAGCGCCAGGGAGCTGAGAGCCCTCTGGGGTGTGCGGTGGGGCTGGGGCCACCAAGGCTCCAGCAAGGTGTTTGGAGAGCGGCTTTGAGCATTGCCGGGACCTCGGATGGGAGCCTTGTCAGAACAGCACTGTTGGGTGAGCGCTCACCTGCTCCTGGACCCCTGGGCAAGTGGAAGAGCAGGACATGAGGACCCCCCAGAGCTGCTCTGTGACCCCGAAATTGTGAAACCAGCACCGCCTGCGCCTCCCCACGTGGTACTGCTCTGGGAGGAGGAGGGACCATGTGGCGACAGCTCCAGGCTTTCCGGGCGCAGCCCCCAGAGGCCCAGGATTCTGCCTCCACTGTGCCCCGGAAGCTTCCACTGCGTCCTGGGGAGGGGCCACCGCCACCCATGGGGACCGTTCCCCGGAGCCGTGGTCTCGGCCCCTGATAATGACCCCGCACGAGCCACAACTGGTGCCTTCGTGGTTGTCAGTTTGCTGGGGACAGGGCCGCATCCCCCAGGAATGTGGAGAAGGGTCTGCAGAAAGCCAAGGAGCTGCAGCGTGGGGCATGTGTCCTCGCCCCTGGCCTGTGGGGTGCCATCTGCTCCCTCCCCTCCTCCCTGAGCTAATAGTGCCCAGGACAACCACAGCCC